GCAGCCTGCAAAGCTTTCATTAAAAAGTGAATACGATCTTCATCAAAATTGTTCTTTGAAATGAATTATTTTCTCTCTCTTCTTTTTTAAAGGAAGGATGCTATACATGGTTATTTTCAAAACTTCTTTGAAAATGTATTTGAACTGTTAGGAAAAATAAAACAAATTTCATGGTGGTATGAAATTAAGTGTGGGGCTTCATGGATTTAACAGGAAAGTGTTTCAACATTAAGCTTCTTTGAAATCCTCTCTAAGCACACATTAAAAGTTTCTCTATTAATGGACTTTCTTCAGAAGAAAAATCAGTGGAATTTCTTCATTGTTTGTACAAAAAGCAAAATTTGATTCCAAGGACATTGGGGCTGCAATTCATTTATTAGTGACTGGATAATGAATTGATCTGAGTATCAGAGTAGGTAAAAGTTATTAAAAATTCAACATATCTGCTGTTAATTTGTATCAGTGATATTTAAACATTAAATATTTGCATAAAGCTTCAGCAAAATATAATAAAAATAACTTATCTTTTGCTTGGAGCCAACTTTAGAGCAGCAAACCACAGGGGTGTGAGTGTGAGACCAATTTGGGAACTAAAACAGAGTAATATTGAATAGATGGAGAGTATACATGAAAGGATATTAGTTGCTAATGAGAGCAAAATGTTAAAAAGAAAATAAATTTACTTTTCCGTTAGAAAAGCAACCCCTACATTTTTCCTTAGCAAAGGATTAAGTCATGATTCCCAGGCCAATAGAATAACAATGCTTTAATTAGGAAAGAGTTCCTATGGGATCTCACAAATAATAGAAACAGGTGGTTGGGAAAGTTTTTGCAATGGATTCTACCTTTTGGTTTATATTTTTCACTGAAGTGGCACAAGGCAAGCTTAATGAAAGTTCTGTTTTTCAGTGAGGAATGAAAATGAAAGGTGTTTATAAATAGGAACAGTTTGAATGAGAGGTTGGATGCAAAAGTCATCATGTGATAATCGTAGGAACAACTGAATCAAAAAATATAGAACTTCTGCTGGCTTTTGTGGGGAATACAAATAGATAGGGTTCTAATAGTCCCTCATTTTTGAAAAATCTGTAAGAAAATAGGTTCTTTAACAGTGAAAACAATTCAACAGTTAATGTATCTAAAACTTCCTGAGTTTTGGTTTGTTTGTGTTTGCAATTTATTTTACTGCATTCCACTAAGGCAGGGGGCCAATGAACTCCAGTGAGACATTTTGATTGGCTAGTGTACCCAGATTGAGATTTTAAACCAGGAATACTTTAATGGATAGTATGTATTTTTCTTTTTAATGGAAGGATTTGAAGTAGGAAATCACTTAAAATATATTTAAACTTCAGTTAGAAATGAATGTGACCCTATGATATATGATCCAAACAGATAGGGTTTTTAATTCATATTTCATATTTTTGATAATTCATAGCAAAACATAGCAATATAGAGTCACCATCAAATGAGCTATTTCAAAATATATCTAGATAACTGTAACACACATAACAGTCATTTCCTTGATACTTGTCATTAAATTTTTTTAAGAAAAAGTTAAAAGTAGATTGTTGCTTTCTTGATTTTTTTTATTCATGAGAGATTTTTTTCAGAAGTCAAGACCTACTGTATTATGTCCTAAATCATATCTACTTTACAATACACTAAATATTATTATTACCTATGGATACCATGGGACTCCTTGTGCATAATGGGTTCCAGTCCTCCTACAGAGTTGCATATGAAAATGTTATCAATGAGCTGAAGAATCTGGCATTAATAACTTTGCAACATTATAACAAATAGGTAGTCTTGATGTTTTGTTCTCTTTTTAATCTATCAAATATATTTCACTGCTTACATTATAGTAGCAGATTGAAAACATCTGCTCAATTGCCACTAGTCCACCAGCAGCAGAGAATCTCAGCTCATTTTCCATAGGCCTGCACGTACCAGGGCTATAATCCAGCTGCTGAGCCTGGATATGGGGCCAGATTAATACTCAGGAGCCTTGGAAATGGAAATAGTGCTTTCTTGCCAAAGATTGGAACAATGATAGACTCCAGTTGCTTTTCCCTTCTCTCTCTTCTTATTCACCAGCGTTTAAATTGCTCCTTCCCACCATCTCCTCCTATCCTCTCCTTACAGCTCCATCACCCGTCATGACGATTAAGAAAGATCGGACATCCAGAAACAGCATCTCTTTGTCCTGGCAAGAACCTGAACACCCTAATGGGATCATATTGGACTACGAGGTCAAATACTATGAAAAGGTGGGGAAACAATGTTACAGGGTTAGATTGTGTAGGGAAAGAGACTATTTTCTTATGAGCTGTGCTCTTGCAAAGAAATCAATGACATTGCTAGTAAGTGGTAGAGCTCTGTGTAGAACTCTGCTATGTGGCCCCTTTGATATATGAGTAGAAGGGGGAGGTTAGAAAGCATCTCACCCAATACCTGCTGTTCTACAGCAAGAAGCAATATCAAATATGCCACCACCAACCTAAGTCAGTTAGTTATGGCCATAGACATGACATTTATGTCCTTTCACACCAAGACCCGTGCTCTGCCAACTATTTTATAGTAATTCCTTAGTCTGTTGATGAGCTATTTCTTAATTCATTGACTAGAGCATCATTTCCTGACCTTCACATGCATATGAATTTAATTCAAGACAGATAGGAATATTGCATTAGTAACAAAAAAATTGTAATATTGAACTGATGATGAAAAGCTTTCTTGACTCTGTAGAAGGAAATTGAAAAAGTAGGGGTGAGTGGAGAAGTTTGCCTCACATAGTAAATTGTGGTTTAGTAATACAATTAGAAAAAATAGGTACACTGTTATTTCTACATAGAATTTAGGCAAGGATATTCCATTATTCTAAATAACACTTATTTTTCCTTGGTTATAAATCATGGTAAGGTTTGAAGGCAAGATATATTCAAACCTTATCATTAGAGCTGGTTGGTTTTATAGCTACCAATATGAACACAATGTATTTGTGTACCTGCTGCAGTTTACAAAGTATTTTAAACTGAATTAAATACAAATTGTGCATGGATAGAGAGAGAACATTTCTGCATACGTTATTTATTTGAGCTGTATGATAATCTTATGAAAGTAGGAAAATAGGTTCTTTTACAAATAAGAAAACTGATTACATATAAGAAAACTGAGAGTCAGTGACATTAGATGAATTTTCCACAGCCTCACTGCTAACAAATATTAGGTCTCTGTTTTGAATCCTTGCTGCCATGATTCCTTGTTTAGTATGTTTTTCCCTATA